AAAAAAAAAAAAGGCAATCTAATCCAATGTTGCAAAAGATGAGCATGTAAGAGCTAAGTAAAAGAATTAGGAATAAAGTTGCTTAAATTGCATTTTTGCCTAGGCTGAGTTCATATGTAGTAACATTTTAAACTTCTTCTGTGTTGCAGTTTTCTAAAGAAAATACCAGTTTCACAAGTATTAAGTGCTTTACCAACTGAAGTGAAAAAAAACTGGCATGCAAAATAAAATGAAACATGGTAGGGGTTCTTACCTAATATTAGCAATAGCCATGAGCTGATCATGCCAAAGTTCTTTATTCTGTGGCCTCAGCAGCAGAAACTTCAGCTCCTTTTTAAGTCTGTCTGACAGTCTTCTGGACTGAGCATAATCCATTATGTCATACACGATCATTGTCCTGGGGAAATTCTGCAGAGACAGCCTTCTCCAGCAATTGTTCCTGCCACCAAAGTATGCAGGGGTTTCATCCAGACTACTCATATACTGTCAAAGAACAATACACTTGCTTGAAAACTAATATATTTGTATTGGTCTTTTCTATAAAGATTTTCCCATTCTTTTTAATAAGACATATGAATCACCTTGCAGATGAACTTGCACATAAAAGGGAAAAAAAATGCATTCAAGGTGGTAGAGCTCACAAAATAGTCTGATTTTTTTAAAATTGATTTTTAGAGAATTATCTGTTCGGTAGATATTTATATCTGTATTTTGTAAGTGTATACATAATTGCTGTGTAAGCATTGAATTTAGAAAGATTACAAAAACATGCATATTTAATATTTACACTACTGTATGAGCAGTAACAAAGCACTTTGCTATTCTTGTAATAAACTTAAAGAGAGGAAATGGTTAAAAATCTTTCTTTATTCAGTTGGAAAACACAGTCCCAGCCACAGCCTGGGATAGAGCTTTGATTAAGCACTAACCAGAAGAGGTCCCATTAGTTCAGCTTTTTTCACTTTCACATCATTTTAATCTTTTCAAAGCTTTCTGCCTCTTAACATCTTGAGCATGAATCAAACACATCAAAAAATGTGACTGCCTTGCAAATGGCTCAGTCACTTTCTATGCTCTCACAAAGTTGCTGTAAAATACTATGAAACCATTTTCCACAAACTTCTGCCACATTCTTACTGCTTATTTTCCACAAATATAACTGACAAAGTATATTTCTATGGTGACAGAAGAGAGACCCAATATCATTCTTTCCTAGAAGTCACTTAGGTACATTTTAGATAAAATCCTAACTTCTTTGCTAACAAGGGAATCTTCGTTACCAAAACCTATAATAAAATATCTGAAACACTTCCTACGTGCATGTAGTCTTTCATTGTAGCAACATCTGTTTCATCTGTTATCCTCTGCTTTTCATACTGAAGCTCATCTTGCACTATTTGTTCATAATATTTCCGAGATCCCATTAACTTGCAAGCATCAGCTGCTGCCTGTAAAATACAGCAGAAAAAAATATAATAAATCCTTCCCTCCCCCCCCAAAAAGAGAGGCACAAGCCAAAAGCCATTTTTCTTCACCTCAAATTGCTTCTGACAATACCCAACAAATAAAAAGGACCTTTTGCTAATTTATAGAGAATTGAGAAACTAGAAAAGCATTGTGCATCATCCAGTTCTCCAGTGGGATGGTGAAGCATTCCCATTGGTCTGGAAAATGTTTTTTCATGATGTACCTGGTTCCATCAGGTCTGTAAAAGTCTATAAAGTCTGCAAGAAGAGTCTAAAAGCAAGAAAATTCTTAAAGACGGCACAACAAAATTATTACAAATAACATTTAAGAGGATATAAGAGGGTATAAAGTCTGTAAGAAGAGTTTAAAAGCAAGAAAATTCTTAAAGATGGCACAACAAAACTTAATTATTATAAATAACATTTAAGAGGATATAAGAGGGTGTGTACCTGTTCTGTCTCTCCACAATACCCTAACAGATGAAGTACCTGATAATTCAAATTAATAATTCCAGGATGCTTTAATTTATATAAACAAACTTGCGGACAAAAATTTCCAAGCTTAAGAGGATGCATATTTTAAAAGCAGTATTAACTATTTTATATTCCTATAATATTTGGACCTGGGCGTGGCCATGTTTCTTGATCATGTGGCTACTTAGGAGCCATGGCTTTCCTTGGAGCCATAGGAGAAGGGCCTAGAGAAGTGCATTTCAAAGCAGAAAGTGGATTCAAGTGCTCCTACCTCCCTCTGGTGGAGCCTGTGTTCCATCCCTAGGCAGGCAACCAAGGCTCCTCACGCGCCGGGCAGCCCTATTGGGTGCGACACTAGGGAGTCAGGAGAGCCCCTTCAAGGCTCGTTCTGGAGGAACTGCCTCGCCACAGAACTGTGAGGGCAGCTACAGGACACAGCCCACGGAACGCACTTCTATCCCATGCACAACCATCTATACAAAGAATTCTGCCAAATGCTTCCATGTACCTTTGTGTAAAGCTTTGTGTAGAAGCTTGAAGACATTTTTTTCTTTGCTAACTGAAAATTAACAGCATTCAGTAGAAGCAAGTCACTTGTTTTCATTTGAAAAGTATTGTTATTGTACTTAATTAAAAGATTGAGTAAGGAGATAAACATATTACAGAATGACAGGGGAGAGGGAAGAAAAAAAAAACAGCAAGATACCACTCACTGATCAAAAAATGACCACACTTGAACACATAGTAAGTCACCTCATTTGATGGACTTATTATTCTTTTCCCACTAATATATTTGCTGCTTTTGCCTTGGGTGTGGCGAAAAATCTTAAACACAACGAAAGGTGGAAATTCCTGCCCAGCAAATCTGAGGAAACAAAGAACACAGTTAATTAACTGCAATATGAGAACAGATTTCCCATGGCTTATACCAGAAAAGACTATGGTCTTGTTTTATTTTATCTGAAGGGAATTTAGAACACTATTTCTGACACACACTGCAAAGAACCTGCTTCAGTCTACCTTGCTTCAAATGAATTACAGATCCCAATTCCTTGGGATCTTTTTTTTTTCCCCTTGCAAAAACCAAGTGCTAAAATATGCCAAAAGGGTTAGTTTTATTTTCTAATTTAATATTCTGTAAATGGAAAGATAAGGAAATCCATCTTTTATTTTTCTTCTATACTCCGCTTTCGTGTAAATTCTAATGGCATTAAAACATTTCTCAATATCCTAGTATCTTTTGTAAGGGCTGCAAGTTAACGTATCAAATTCTGCTTTCTTTACAAAAGGCCCATGAGCCAGAAACTGTTCTTGCAGAAAGATAGTTTAAGTAGTATCAGTAGCTGAAAATATTTTTAAATCACTCCCAATTTAATGAGGAATCAGTACTTAAACAATAACAAAATACACATAAAGATGAGCAGGGTGAAAGAATGTAGTAAAAGAGCAGTAATGTTTTGTGACTTGAATTAAAAATGGTTAAATGTGACTTGAATTAAAAATAGCTTAAAAATGGTTACTAAAACCATTTTCATATCTCACTGACCCTGGGAGTTCCTAAGAACTCAAAACTTTCCAAATAACAAATGTCATTTATCTACAACGATAGATCTCTGTATCTACTACAGAAAATCCACTAAAATTCAAAAGAAATTCTCACTGATTTTCAGAACAGTGAGAAAACCCCTTAATTTAAAGGAAGTCACAGAACTACTAGAGAAATCCTGCAATACAAAGCGTAGGATCAGTTCATTCCCTGTTAAATTGAAATGCTGGAATTTAAGTCTTCAGAATGGAATGGTATGTTTTCAAAAAAATCTGAACCCTAGAACACTTTTTTAAAATTTAAAGTATGAGTGCGTTCAGGTAATGTTATGATTTAAAGGTTGCGGTTCAGACAAAACGATTTATTCTTACGACTGTACACTGATGCCAGATTCAGTTACTGGGCACAACCAACGCACGCTTTACCTGAAGCGGACTTTACACTCCATGCTGGGATCCTTTAGCAGCTCAGCCTCCCTGGGGCTCACCCTCCGCATGATCTCGTGCGTGATGCAGTGCTCCTGCAACGCACACAAGCGCAGAGCTCCTTAAACCACGCGTGAGTTTTA